CTGATAAACTGTTGTCCAGTGGAGCATGAGATACATTCCACTGGAGTATTTTTCAGTTTAATGTAAATGGGATACTGATTTTTTTTTCCTGTGTGTTGAATCATCTAAAGTAGATGAGTATGTTGTTACAAACCCAATGTTCTGCTGTACTGAGTTCTCTTCAGGTACAACAAGATCAGTGGTCTCCTTCAAGAGAATTCTCTTTGGTTATTGTTCACATCTATTAAAGTGATCTACACTGAAACATATAAGTGTTGTTCTTGGTGGAGAAAATAACTGTAACTGTGCTTAAAAGACAAAACAGCAGCCCAGAAGTTCGGAGTCGCAGCCTGTGCATCAATTTGGATCAGTGTCTGGGGAGCCTGGATTTTACTTAATTGTGGACTTCCTGATAAAGTGTTTTGAAACTGCCTTCCCCGCCAGTGTACACATGATTCTGTCAGAACGTAGAAGTTATTGTTGGCCATAGAAATGGAAGGAATAGACATTTTCCTTTTGCTTCAGAACTGGTGCAGTTATCCTTTGAAAGCTGTGCAAACAGATCTGCTGTGCTTTAGAGTAACAGTTTTCAAAGCTTTATTAAACCAGCAGGAACTGAAGAAATTCCTTGACTGTGATGAAAACATTGAGAGTTACATTTTTATTGTTTGCTGGGGGGAAAAGAAAGGGATTTTTGAAAATGATAAAGTGCCAGGGATGAACCGCCTAGAGAAAAAAAGACAACTGTTTCCTTTGGCCTGGGCCATAAAATGAAGTTGTGCCTTTAAAAGAACTTTCTGTGCTCTGACAGAAGCTGACATTTTTTATAAACTACATGATTTAGGAAGTTACGGATTCTCCCATTTAGGCAATTTATAACAAAGACATGCTGACGTCCTAAGATCGTGGGAGATAGTAAAGACTGGAGCATTACAGTGCAAGAAAGGTAACATCATCTTAAAGAAAAGAAAATAGAGGCTGTGTCTGCCTAGTTTGTTATTGTGAAGTTGAGTAGGGTCGCCTATTTCCTATTGATTGTCATCCCTGTGGATTGATCTGAAGAGTAACTTGTCCTGCCTTTCTCAACAAAAACTTTTGCGCAGCAAGAGGATGAACTTGTGAGAAATAAATCCTATAGAGACATTACGTGCTAATGCAGAATGGCATGTCGTAGTTTGTGTTGATTTTAAAAAATGGGCTGTTGGATTTCAGGAATTTGAAAGGCAGAAGGAACACAGGAAACAGTATTTTGGAAGAAGAATATAGAATCCTGTTATAACCCAGTAGCAGGATATGTAAATCTGTGGATAAGAATCTCCTGGTTGGAAGATGAGATCCTTGATTAGTTTATAATTTGCAGCACTGAAGTGCTGAGTCAGGGTTTGATTCCCTGGAGTGCTTAAATTTATGTGTAATGATAAGCTTGTGGTTGTTCCTTTTTAAGGTGAGGAGGTTATTCATGTATTACATCTGTTAAATACACTACACCTGGTTTTGAACCACAGCATTATTAGGGAATGAGCTGAATCCTGTTGTAGAACTGTGTTTTTATGATAAACCCAGACATGTTTTTATGATAAGCTCTGAAATGTTTTTCTGATTTATTTAAGAAGGCAGGAAACGTCTAGGAGTCTTGAAATCATAAAATACTGCAGAAAAGCTCTCTTAAATTGTGTACAAGTTTTTCATTGTATACATAGATATTATATTAATAAAATGGTTCTGTTTTTCCATTAAGAATATTTAAGATATGTACTGGGATTTGAAGAAATTTTTGTTTTTGTCAGGAAAATAAATCTTTGATGTCTAAATAGTACTGTGATGGTGCTTAATGTGCTGATTACCTTAAGAAGAATACTTCTTAGATTGTCACAGATCACCCAAACACATCAGTTTACAGTGCACCTTTTGCATGGTTATATTTGGCTTTTAACTGTTAAGACCTTGGAACTACCTGATATTTATCTTGTACCAATTTAAAACAGCGAAGTGCCCTATAGATCTTGCTTTAACTTCCACATCCTTCATTTGTATTTGGATGTTTTTATTATGCTACCACAGAATGTACAGCAGTAAGTGTTAATAATTAAAAAAAAAAAGCTTTCAGCACATCTAGAGCATTTTGCCAAGGTTTATTTTATAACTTTGTTTGGCTGATCTACAGCCTGTTTCCAAACTCGCTGCTAATGTGAGGTGAGTTGTGCTTAAATTATAGTTCTGCCCAGTAGATTCACAACCACGATGATTTCACATGAGCCACTAAAATTCATGATTTGGTAGAGATCATCTGTTCTGTAATATAAGCACTACTTACAGAGTGAATTTCTGGAAACCCTGACAGTCTAAAGACTTGTGTTGAACAATTTGCTGATTTAAAGGGAAGTTTTTCCCCTCTCAGTAAAATGTCTCGATTTCTCAAAGCTATTATAAGTATTTACAAAAATACTAATTACTGTGATCTGAAGGTAATTGACAAATTGTTTTTATTGATTCATCGTGTCTTTTTTCCCCTGAACACTCATATACAGAAGGAACAGAGACTGTACTCAAGATTAGTTTGTTACCAAAGGAATACTTTTAAAAATCATGTAAGATTTTCTGATGGCAAACATATTTAAAACTGACATGAATCAAGCACTTCAGTTTCCTACACCCTACACTTCATCCTGTGGGTGAGCCAGTAATTTTATGGCAGCTGAACATTTGTAGGATTGGGCTCCAGATTGATAAACTTTTGAATTCTGTTGTATTAAGTACTAGTTGGTT